TACAAGACCAAGGTCAGAAATATTGAAGAAGTCTAAGATTGAAAAGACACTAAACGTATCTTAGAACTGTCGAGCTTGGATTTCACTAGTTGCCTACATTCCAGGAGCTCTTTCAAGTATCCTATTACTTGGTAAGTCTGACCCAAGCATGATGATATTTTCATCTTCTAATCTGGCGAAGCTCTTCCATGGTCCAACAGATGGGGTCTTGTGACTGGAATTTGGATTCGCTCAGCTGTCGGAGTTCCATACGCCGTTGTTATGATCTGGGCAGCAAACGCATCTGCAGGACACACCAAAAAGACGACGGTCATTGCACTATACCATATTGGATATGGGTTAGGAAACATCATATCGCCACAACTGTTTCAACCGCAGTGGAAGGTCATTAAATGCCATTCTACAATTCAAACATGAACAAGCTAACAATCTTTCTAGCCCCGATATCGCCCGACTTGGATTATTTTGCTCGTTGTACGTACATTACACCTGCAGAGGTTGTAGACTCCAATGCTAATCACTATTATCAGGTCGCCGCTATTGTCCCCGCCATAACCATTGTCACACTATGGGTTTATCTCAATAAAGAAAACAAACGAAGAGATCAACTTGAAACCGAAAATCAAGTCAACGATACAGGAGTCGTTGAGGCTGTTGACGCAGACGGCACACGTACAGCACATGTCGTCGACAACACTCAATTGGACTTGACAGATAGAGAGAACTTGAAATTGTTTGTGACTACAAGAATCCTTATTCCAAAACATTTACTAACTAAGAATAGCCGATACGTCCTTTAATCGGTCACAATTTTGAAGCTCATTTTAACTCAAGGTCGAAACTCGCTGTCTTGCTCCGAATAAGGATAGAATCTAAATATCAACTTTCAAATGAAATAGAATAGGTAGAATTGAAAAGCATAGACGAATTTCCTTCAACGTCCTGTATATTGCTTCGACGCTTCCGTTTCTTAAGTTTTCAGATATGCGTACCTATCTCTTCGTTCAGTAATCTTCAACCAAGTTCGTTCCAGAATAGCTGTCTCCTCACCCGGGCTGGTTACTTCTGCCAACGCAGTCTCAGAACTTCTCTTGTCTGGTTTCATTGTTCACTCGTTACTTGATATTAGAACCCGTTGCTGGAGGATATAAGGCTTACTTTTACTTTTCCAGGGGGCTGATGATCAAATCTCACAGCAATGTTTTGATCATCCTTAATTTTTCGTGTGAGATAGAGTTTCAGTTATTGTTTCTCATCGCTTTTGAAATAAATCTCTCACACCAAACGTGGATATTTAACCAATAGACCCACCACTTGAATTCAATCTCGACCTTATTTCACAAATTTACAGGATAGCTTTCGAGCAAGTAGCTAATATGTAACCGAACATATCTATTGCTGACGCCCACCGCGCTTCGTAATATCCAAAGAGTCTTTGAAGCTTTGGCCAATATCTAAAACAAACACAATCGAGCGCCGTGGTCTATCGGCCCAGACTTCTCACACATACTCTGCACAGTTTAATGACCCTCCAATATCCATAACTTCTCGTACTGTCACGTTCGGCGTAACGCCTACCATCCACAAGTTGTGGTCCAAAGTAGTCACATTCCCACCATCGTCGCCAAAATAATCTATGACGCCCGGGGTGGGATCTGGGAAACCATTTTCTCTCAGGAACTCCTCCGAGGGCATGTTCTTTCCTCCCATATCCGTCAGCCGGAATGTGAGGTTAGCCTGCTGCCATTCCCACCAGAGACGGTCTAGGTTGGTATGATGAAGATAGAAGAGTGGTTCGCCAGGGCTTGCGGCGGGATCATACATCTAGGATAGTTAGTATTCATAAACTTGGTTCGGGGAGCCGGAGGTGACGCACTGTACCACCAACACCAAAATGGCCTGCCGTATGAGGCAGTGCCTGATAGCAAGAATAGGAGTCCTCATACTTCTCGAGATTGAAGCATTCGTCAATATTCTCTTGTTTTGCGGTCGTAAATGCGGTGGCGTTGAAACTGCGTGAAAGACAGTAATCGGCGGAGCTCGAAGTGCCGTTGATATGCATCCTCAAGTTCACAAAGGGGCCATCAAGGACGCAAGCGCTCCCTTCGCCACCAAACCCAGTGACCGGATCAAAGATCACAGATCCAGCAAAGTTACCAACGTCACGAACTTGTTCCCAGTAAGGCTGACCACCTCTGTAGCCACACTCAGTTTGCAACAGATATTCATGAACACGCATATAATATCGATGCCAAGGTAGAAAGGCCCCCTAAGTTTATTAGTTAATATCGTAAATTTCTCGTTTCCCTTTCCATACACAGGTCTACTACTTACTACATTATGAATGATGTTTGACTGGGTTATGTGAGCAAACTGAAGTTCGTCCCAGAGATTCTGGGCGCCTTCAATTCCAGCAATCGGAGGTCGCTTCATCAAACACAGTTCGGCATCAATGTACTCCTTTCTCTCAAGCACCGACATTCTGTGCCTTCAACTTTATGTCAGCCTACACAAAGAAAGATATACACATTGGCTTGCCTTACCATGCTTTGCGCTGCGACTTTTTATGGCATGTGCCATTCCAAGCGGCCGAGGCCGAGGCTGCTAGGAGCAGAATAAGACCAGGAACGAGGCGGACCATTGTGAAAGTTTGGTTATAGGTAGCTTAAAGCCTTCCAAAAAGATTGTACTTTGCGCACTGATGTGATCCCATTATATACAAACGACACATTCTACGCTGGCTTGGAGAAGAGTTTCATACATCGCTATATGGTGGACCTCCAGCGGTGGCGCGTCTCGAAGTGGAAGGACCTACCCCTATCGTGGCATGAGATATTTCTATTACTATCGTTAGGTAGCATGTCTCTCGGGGATCCAGCCTGATTCGAGAACGGCGGACGTGGGTCAAGTGCCATCCCAGCTTAGTACTATCTTACCAAGATAACTATATCATGTAGTAATTAAGATGTTGAAAGGTCAAACCCTGTATGGGCAGATGCATGGGCCATCGAAAAATGGCCATCTGAAGCGGTATCCTAGAAGATTCGAACAAATCTTTTATAACCCGGACCCGAGCAGAGTGGGTCGGATCTGCGGATCTCGCCCAAAGGTTTTCTCGTTTCATACTTGGTAGGGTCTGTGCGGATGTAACTTAGAAAGAAATGAATTCTTTGATTCGTAGTAATTAGGCCCTTGTCCTTTTCTCCCGAGCAGACATCCCGAGTGGATAGCATGGAGGACGGTAAATCCTTCCTCAGCGGGTAGTACGTAGTACCTAAATCTCCTACTCCCCGCCAGGATATCGTTGTGGTATAAAACCAGTGACATTCTCCTGCAACCAGATGTAGCAGATGTAAAACCGTGGTCAAACCAGCGTTCAACGCGGTCAACCCCACTTCAAGACAGTCACAAACGGCGCGACTTTCGACATCTACCGGGGCAGGTCGTATAAGGCTTACGTGACTCTCAAGTATGCATGGAAGGGGGGTTTGTGTGGAATGCTTATTCGACAGATTTTACTATATTGCCAGTAGGAAGTGAGAGAAACAAGACACATATTATGAATCGTTCAATTTCCGCAGTTGTCACATCCGCAGTACTTACGTATCGTTTGTCAGCCAATCGCTTCCAGTCTATGAAATAATCATCCTCTTCCATCCTGATTTTATTCCACCTTGGGCTTGAGACAGTCCAGCTTCAGCCTACGTAAATGCTTTCGCGACCGTGGGGGAAAGAAGCCCCGTCTTCCTTCCAGGGTGAGTCGGAGCAGGGAAAAGGGGTTGAGAAAAAGCCTCGCCACTCCATGCTAAGTCCACACGTCCCTGCAAGTAATGAAATTCGCCCAGGGGTTCTTAGTTCTGATGACACTACAATCGAGGATAATTTTCTTTTGAACGCGCGTACGGCTTTGTTCAGGGCATCCCTAAACACAGGGAGGGAGCTTTCAGCCTATAAAAGTAATACTAGTTGAAAATGATAAGTGGCTTTAAAGTAAAGTAAATAAGAAATCAAAGTAACCACTTCACCACAAGGGTTATTACTAAGGCCATAACAAGGCGTATGCCCAGCGATAAAGACACATGCTTCATGCAATAATTCCTTCGTCGGTATGACTCCTAAACCTTTTAACGATCTTGTTTTCTTCCTAAGTGAACGTCTAGCCTAGGCCCAATCCTAACTACATAGACTGCACAACTCAAATCCAGCTCTGTAAGGTCAGTGTAGGGTAGGTAAGAATCAGGCTCACTTCTAACAGAAGCCTACTGCAATTATATCATGTGATTGTTCACAAGCACCTGCTGGACGAGTTTGATCAGCTTCCTATATACGGTACCTGAGAGAGTCTGTAGAACTTGAACACCCTGGGAATGAGCTAGTACAGCATCAAATTGCCCAAGAAGAAGATATGCAGACTGACGTGGCCCATGCTGAGGATTTAACACTTGATGCGACTCTAATAACCGCTAGCGATGCTCTCGAGTTTATCCATTATCACGATATGATACCATCTCTGCAAGATTCTGGCCAGCTAAACAATACAAATGTACTCTTGCCTGGTCTGTTCATATAGAACCCCCACTCCAAACATGGGGTGATTCCGAGACACGATTAGGTATTACAGGCCCTCAACAATTCTGCCAACTCACCAACACATTTAAGATCTGGCCATGCATATCAGCTGCTAGTGTGGTACAATCCAAGGTCACTCATTGGTGGTTGGCTGAGACATGCACACCATGGCGCTCTACGCGAAAGCTGACAGGTGCTAGAGGCTCCAGATGGTTGGCCTCCTGCAGCTGCCAAGCAAAACAGACAGTTTTGCCCCAGAGGAGGCCCCAAATGCTCTGTTCACCTTTCTAGCAGATACAACCCATGTTTATAAGATCCTGACCGAGAACCTTCTCCTTTCTCTCTCCTTCTACCTGTATAGCTCCCTCGCAAATCGTTCAACTCTCTAGACGAATCAAAAATCTCAAAGCGTCAAAGTCATCACCAATATCATGTTGGCCAAGCTTAACTCTGTGGGACTAGACGGTATCAAATCGGATGATCAACTTCAGCTTCTAGATACGATTGACTCTCTCCGGTCGCAGGGCATCCACCATTATGTTTCCCTCCCACAGATCATCGTCTGCGGCGATCAGTCATCTGGAAAGAGTTCGGTCCTAGAAGCGATCTCTGGCGTCTCTTTTCCGATTAAGAGCACTATCTGTACTCGATTTCCCACCGAACTTGTCCTCCGGAAATCTACGCACGAAGGAGTTGAACTTCGTATTATCCCGCATGAATCCCGTACCGACTCTCAAAAAGAGTCACTCTACAAATTCAATGGGAAGCTAAACGATTTTTCCGACCTTCCCGAACTCATTGAAGCTGCCAGATGCTCCATGGCTATGCTTACTCCAGGCATGTCATTCTCTCGGGACATTTTGAGGGTCGAAATCCACGGCCAAGATCGCCCTCATCTTACCATGGTCGACTTGCCTGGGCTCATACATTCTGAGACCAAAACTCAGTCAGCCGAGGATGTGTCACTGATCAAAGAGGTTGTACGAAGCTATATGAAAGAGCCTCGAACTATAATACTCGCCGTGGTTTCTGCTAAATATGAGTTCTCTAATCAAATTATTCTCCGACTCGCGCGAGAAGCCGACCCGAGAGGCCACCGAACCATGGGTGTGATCACCAAGCCTGACACTCTCCTGGAAGGTTCTGAGAGTGAAAGCAAGTTTCTCACTTTAGCCAAAAACCAAGACATTGAGTTTCGCCTAGGCTGGCATGTGTTGAGAAATGCAGACTCCGAAAGAGGGCCAAGCACTCTAGAGCAGCGGGACAATAAAGAAGCATACTTCTTTTCCAGTGGTCGCTGGGTCGAGCTTCCTTCTTCCTCGCGCGGGATTGTCAGCCTTAGAACCAGGCTCAGCCAGCTTCTTTGCTATCAGATTGTGGCGGAGCTACCGGATCTTGTCGCAGAGATTCGGACAAAGGCTGACGACTGCCGGGTTCAGCTGGAACAGATGGGAAGCCCTCGAGAGAATCTTCAGGACCAAAAGTTGTATCTGGTGCAAGTCAGCCAGCGATTCCAGGCTTTGGTCAAAGCAGCTGATGAGGGTGCCTATCACGACGGCTTTTTTCATGATCCCATGACCAACGCCGGATACAAGAAGCGGCTTCGGGCCATTGTTCAAAAGCTCAACGAAGAATTTTCACTTGAAATCCGCGCTCGTGGCCGCAAGTACACGGTGTCGACAAGTGCCCCGAATTCCATCAGTCAAAAAGATCTCATCGACAAGGTCATAGGGCTCGCTGAGAGAACCAGGGGACGCGAGCTTCCCGGCCTGTGGAATCCCATGACTATATCAGAGCTATTTAGGGAACTCTCGTCTCCGTGGGAAGCCATCGCGACGAAGCATGTCAACCGCACGTGTGAGGCCTGTGCAGAGTTCATAGAACAGGTGGCCAAGGCCACTGCCGACTCGGTGACAGCCAGCTCACTCAAAGATGTGATACTGGACCCGAAGCTTGAGAAGATTCGGCTGGGTCTCTATAACAACCTCAAGAAGGTTATGCAGCCACATCAGGAAGGTCATCCAATTACATATGGCGAAGGTTTCCAGGAGGCACTTCATCAAGCGCAAGTGAAGAGAGTAGACCATGCCATCGCGACCATGATTCAAAATTTCCTAGGAGTGGTCACCGCCGAGGGCCAAACCATTCGCGTGTCAAAGAATGTTGACACAGGGGCGCTCCATCGTGAGCTATTGAAAACGATTGATCCCTGTTCTAACCGCCATAAAGCCATGGGCATCATGGACCATGTTGACCATTATTATGAGGTATATGCCCACAACGCCCCGATAAATGAAAGTATTCTGATAGGTTGAGCACTAGACTGCTTTACAGCGATTTATCGATGTCGTGGCTGTAGACGTTATTGAGACGAGCCTAGTAGCTGAGCTCAGTAAAGTGTTTGATCCAACAGCCGTTGCCATGATGACAAACGAGCAAATTTCTCTGATTGCAGATGAAACGGAGCAGAGACGTATGATCCGGGAGGGATTGCAACAACAACTTCACAGCTTAGAGGAAGGAAATCGCATTTTCCAGAAGTACCAGAAGGTAGTGCTTGCCATGAGTAAGTAATTAATTATCACTCATCTGCTCATTTAACGGGATTTTAATCGTTCGCAACAGTGTCATCCATGAGCTATGAGAACTACACACCGAAAAGCGGCTCGACGATGGATGGAGAGGAAACCCCAGAACGTACCCGTGGAGCAGGCCCAAGAGTCTCTGAATATTCGTTCTGTCACGAGGAAAAGTCAGCGGATGAGGAGACTCCAGCAACCGAGGAGGTTGAAGAAGCCAAGGAGGCTCCAGTGATTGAGGAGGCTCCAGCAGATGAGGCAATGCCACCAAGTGAGGAGATGCCAGCTGTGCCCAGATATGATGATGATGGTTTCGGATTTTGGAAGAAAGTGGGGGAAAATCACAATAATGCCGGTTCATTTTGGGAATAAGAATAATATGAAGAAACATAAAAGTTGATCAAACGCGTGTGGGAAGCTGGGGAAATTGGGCGAAATTGGGCGAGCTGTTGAGCGGCATATTTGTTCATGATATGCTCCTCATAGTCACTAAATACCCGATTCTTGAATGCGTCAATTGCCTCACTCATCATTTTTTTTGGCTCACTTTTGTGGGACATTTTTATGAACAATCTAATTTTTTCTATCAAGATCAGTTAGCCTTATATTTATTAACCTAAGACGAACATCTCTCCCTATATTTTCAATATTAATGAAAGACTCCCACTCCTATGTAGCATGGAAAATGATGGCTTGAATTATGGGATTATATTGATTCTAAGAGGCTATCAATAAAAGGGGTGACGTGGTCGTGATAATCCCTTCCTTTTATTAGTCGGTAACGTCCGATCTAGAAATTCAATGGGAAATTTATCGACATTTTATTTTCTTAATTATCAAATACGATCTTCAGACTAGAGCCATTTCATTCAATTTGACTTGTACATTCTATGAGGTTGATAACAAACAAGGTAGAAACTTCGGCTTATTAGGGCGACCATGCAACTAATATTAAATTCACATCAAGACGTTGTCCTATGAAAGAAACAGGTCCAATTCCTTTTCCGTCCAGTCCCAAACCTTTTTGGCTAACGCATCGTCTTTCCCAAATTTGCTAACCGTGTTTGCAACACCAATAGGCTCATAATACTCGCCACTGGTCACATCCTTGGACACCGAGGCCCAGAGCTGGTTCTTCGCCCCGTCTTCCACGGTTTTGAAGGGCATGATCCTGGAGATCATTCGAAATATAGCCGGCGTCCCCGAAGACCTGCTCATAAGGTCCGTATGCACGACGCCCGGGTGGATGGACGCTGTGATCAGCTGAGGGTACTCTTTGGCCAACTGTCGTGCGAAGAGCACATTGGCAAGCTTGCTTTGGAAGTATCTGCCGTAGGCCCCGAGGGATTCGGCTGTGGTCTTTGGGGTATCGAATCGGAACCCCATTTTCTCGTTAACGCTTTTGTGGCCGTATGAAGAGACGGAGATGACACGGACGTCGGCGTCGGCATGTGAACTCTTTGTCTTTTCGAGAAGAGGGAGTAATAGCCTGGTGAGAAGGGCATGTCCCATATGGTTGGTGCCCATTTGAATTTCATATCCATCTTTTGTCAGGCCTTCGGAGGCAGCCATGATGCCTGCATTGAGTAGCAGGATGTCAAGTCTCTGAGATTGGGATAAGACAGTCTGAGCCGCCTTTTTTATTGAATCAAATGAGGCCAGATCCATCTCGAGCGGTGAGATATTCGCTCCGGGGACCTTTTCAATGATTTCTTGTGCAGCTTGAGTTGCTTTTTCCAGATTTCGTCCTGCAAGCCAAATCTGGGCTGGGTCATGCCTAGCATATTCGAAAACGGATTGTTTACCAAGCCCTGTGTTGGCTCCAGTGACAAGAATCACCTTTCCTTTCAGAGAAGGGATGTCCTTGGATGGATCGAACGATACGCCGTTGTTGAAGAACATTGAAAAAGGTAGGGGCTTGGTCAAGTAAAGAACGAGCGAGAAGGTGAGTGCTGGGTGGGATCAAATTGGATATAAGCGTGTGAAAGCAGTGATGGAATTGCAGTTGAGCTACAGAGTCTACCACGGTCAATCCTGCCTTCTTATATACAATGACACTCCGGAGATATCGGGAGACACAAGATATGATGAAATTCAAAAGAGCACGCCTCTCCGGATTGCTCTTGCATAGCCTCTATCAATGTTGGTCACCAGCCATGATACTTCCTGTTAAAAAGACGCTAGTCCTAAAGTGGCCATCAGTCTGGGCTTGGCAGGCTAGTCCCAAAACGGTTCGAGATTCGGTCTTGGCGCGCATTGCCGATGAGCTGAGGCATGACGGATTATGAAATCATGCCGTCGCGTATCTCGTGAGACGGATCCTGCACATGCAACCTCACCGACGGCAGTGTTTTGCGACCCAGTCTCCATCTGGGAACGCCAGAGTCTCTCTCTTCAGCCGCCGGTTGGACGTACTCTACTTCCATTGCCTTCTTCATCAGCAAGTAAGCGAGCCCCTCGACCTCATTTGCCCAGTCTTCTTCAGCCGGGAGGAATGAGACCCCTAACCTTCAAAGTGACCAAACCGCTGTGGATTGTCTCCACCTCGCTCGACCAGCCCGATGAGGCGACCAGAAGGGTGATGCGCAGCCATGTCATGCGCGACAAGAACACCCGCGATGCCAAACGGCAGCGGAAAGTAGCCCGCCTGATGGCCGACGACAATTCCCGCTGGGTGGAACGCAAGCTCTCCCGGGCGGCTCTTGAAGCCCAAGGCGACGTGGCCGAGTGGGTTCCCAAGTCCTCTGGCAGGCTTGCGGCTGAGCTGGCTGTCGCCGGCTTCGACATGGAGCTCACCCCTCACATGCTAGATCTGATTTATCGAGGTGGGTGATGTCCTAGTCTTTTCCCCATGGCCAAAGATCCCAAAGTAATATTTTTCCATCCCCTTGCAGCCTTCACTTTAATCAAGCCGGCAACATTCAGCCTTGAGAATGCGCTTGTTGCTGGCCCACAACAGACCATGTACTGTTTCGATAACATCGCCCACAACCCTGGTCTCATCCACTCGATGCTCTTCACAGCCCAGTCTCTCTATGATACGACCTTGGATGTAGCTTACAGCAATGCCGCTCGGTGGCATCTTGCCAAGACCCTATCCTATCTTCAACAATACCTTCAGTCTGATAATTCTGCAACCAGCAATGCAACAATGGCCGTCATAGTTTCACTAGCCACATCAGCAATCATGCTCCAGGATCTTGGTATGGTCAAGGCACACATGGACGGCCTGTACCGTCTAATCCAACTGCGTGGTGGGCTGGCTGCTCTTGGTGAGGGCAGCATGGTCGAACACAAAGCTCAAAGGTGGGCAGAGAGCAACCCGATTTTCTCTTATACTCTGTACTCACCATTCTTTCCAGGATCGATTTTGCTTTATGTTTAGCTACTGGAGAACAATCGAGGTTCTTCCGTGAGGTGCCATGGGTACCTCATATCGCCACTGATGGTGCAATCAGGTGCCCTGAATTGCGCGATGTTTGCCCAGACTTTGACTCGAGAATACAAACCATCTGGGCTGATTTGCGAGAGTTTTCAAAAGCGGCAAACGAAGCAACAAGGACTAATATCAAGATGACACCGGGGTTCTTCTCTCGTCTTAGCCAGTCGGTCCCATATCGTCTACTTGCTCTCGAATTTGATGTAGCCTCCAACTCGGAACTGCTGCGTCTCTGCATGCTGGCATACGTGAAATACCTACTCAATCCCATCAAAGGGTTTGGGAAGCACCTGGGTTATCTGGCTAAGCGAATCAAAGCTTCGCTGCTTGCACACCAACTAGCCCCTGGTAAGGGAGCCGACGGGCTGATTGTCTGGGCACTTTTCGTGGTTGCCAATTCTATATATGAGGATTTTGATCGAGAATGGATACAAGACATGATGAGTCAAGCAAGTTTGAATCTCAGGCTGCATACCTGGGAAGAGATATCACCTGTCCTGGAGCGCTACCTGTGGATTCGTGTCTCATTTGAAGGCCCTGCGAAAGCTCTATATCGCCAGTGGTGGCCACAAGGCAACTCTAGTCTAGGGAAATATCCAGCAGTAAGTGCAAAAGCACTCTAATATACGCAAGGCACATGTGCTTTCAGTCACAGGCTACTGTCGCACCTTCTATGACATCTTGTTGGACAAATATTCATCGCTAATGACCTATTGATGGCGAGTGGAACCCGCAGCCAAGGAAGTGATACAGTTTGGGATCTCATTCCTGCTATTGAAACGTCAGAAGCTTGCCCTATGCCCAATCTATGATTTCAAATGGCATGTACTGTTCACCTTCTATTCTTCTATTGCATTGATCATAAGGAGACCATGAATTATAAACCTTTATATCTCTATTATATTATAGTATACCCGTCTAGGTCTATTTTTTTTAAATGCAAGATATCGAATCCCTCCGCCCGCAGATATGAAATTAACTCCGTGCTTTGTCCGTTCCTCTAGAGTGTATAGATGAAATCAGGTCTCTTGTCGCCCTTGATCAACAGCTCCTCTTTGGACAACTTCTCAAACATCGAATCCCGCTCGCCATTCTTCCTCTTCTTGTTCTCAGCAGCCAGTGCGAAATGCACGAGAAGGCTTCCTCCGAGCAAGCAGACAACCAGGTAGGCCAGAACTGTAGCGTGACCGGTCCAGTATCGTGGCTTTTCCTTGGTCATGTAGATGTTGCTGGAGACGGCGCCGTTCAGAGTTCCAAAGCCAATCACCATGCCGAGGGCGATGGCGCGCTTCAGAGACCCCTCGGTGTTGTTGGAAACCCACGACAGGGAGTTGGGGATGGTGGGGTAGATGCCCATGGCACCGAGGAAAGTGCCTGCGTACTGCGCGTTCACGTTGTCGGTTGCAATCAGGATAACGAAACCGGTAATCGCGAGAAGGGTTGGGACGATGTTGCACCAGCCACGGCAGCGAGTGCGATCAGCAAAGTAGCCCACCACAATGGTGAAGACGGCCGCGCAAGCATAAGGCGGAACACTCAAAATCTGGGCAGTAGCTCCAGACTTTCCCATTCCTTGGATGATTCTAGTCACACGTTTGTCAGCTTTTGTCTACCTGCAGGGTGAAGGAGTGCTAGAACTTACGTTGGCAAGAACAGGGCGAAGGCGTAGAGAGGCATCAAGCAGCCAGTGTAGACAAGCATGTATCCGTAGGTCTTCCAATCCTTGCAAGCCTCATAGACATATCGCTTGTCAAAGTGCTCGGCTACCACGGACTGCTTGTCGAGGAGAAGACGTCGCTGAACACGGATCCGATCTTCGGCCGAGAGGAAGTGTGCGGTGGCGGGCCAGTCAAGAGGCATGAACCAGCAGACCACACCAGCCAAGAAGGTGGCAATTCCCTCCCTGAATCCCTAATTAGCCTAAATCCCACGCATCTGATGATTCATCGAACCAGATAACTCACAAGATGAAGATCCATTGCCATCCCTGGAGCCCAGCAACATCGTCCATCTTTGCGATGCCGAAAGCCAAGAGTCCTGAAAAGGAGCCGGCAAGGGCAGCCGCTGAAAAGAAGACGGCACTGCGCAGACCGATTTCACTGGACTTGTACCAGCATGACAAGTAGTAGTTGACGCCCGGGAAAAACGCCGACTGGGCGACTCCGAGGAAGAATCGCGCTGCCAGCATACCAGAATAGTTAGTGCACAGTCCGGTGAGCGTCACGATAACGCCAGAAACAACCATGATCAAGGTGAAGAAGACACGCGGTGATGACTTTTTGAGGATGGCGTTGGTGATGGGATCAAAGAAGGCGTATGCGATGAAGAAGATGGTCAGAGACATGTTGTAATCGATACCCTCCATGCCGAGAGCGGCCTCCATGCCCTGGAGCTTGGCATTGCCAATGTTTGTACGGCAGATGAAGCAAAAGCAATATCTAGGCGATTATTAGAGTGAATGCCGGTGTTAAAGGCGCACAATGATGTTGACTTACAGAACCGCAAGCCATGGCACGAGCCAAAGATCGGCTTTTCGTACTAAATCTCGATCCTAATTGAATTCACTAGTTAGAATCCGCTGTGGTGAAGAAAAATCTCCATCGAGTGGCTTACAATTTTCTTCTTCTCTTCGTCGGATTTGTCTTTGTCCTGGTCGGGGAAACTCTCTAGTGCTGCCGACCGTTCAACATCGACAGCGCGACCTTTCTCCTGGTCGCCCCCGAGAACCATGACGGTTGAGGTGGATGTGGCGGCACTCATTGTGCGATTAGGTAATAGGAAGATCCTATGAGGAAGTATTTTGCGTGAGATCAACTCGTTAGTTGATATGATTCAATTGCTGATTGTGATGAACAAAAAAAGGTTTTGATACATGGCCTTCACTGTCTATATATGCAAAATGGACGTGGCTCAGCAACGCTCGCGAACGTCAAAATCTCGTTACTCTCTCCTGGAGCCCGGCGGTGATCGCCATCCGGATTGGTCCTCGAAGGTGGTGTTACTAGTAACATGACAAACTGTAACACCAGCCCAGTCTCACGGACGATTTAGCGACGGAAGGGCTGGCCAGGGGGGGCTGCGATCGGATGATGGCAAGGGAATGATTCATTGTTGCAGGCATACGAAAGATACATCCCGATAACGAGATTTTTCCTGCCGGACCGATGCAAAATCTTGATCCCTGGCCCATTTGTAATGAAGGTTTCATTCACGTATGGAAGCCGCGAGAGCCTGGGCCGGGAATTATCGGATCATGTCCGATTAGGTGTTGCGTGGTCTGGACCCTGACCAGGGATCGATGATGGCACACCGAAAGAAAAATTATCGTATCGAATATCGGTTAAGCCCGACCCTCCCTCTGGACTAGATAAGCATAAGAGGTTATTCCTATTGGTAGATATTCTTGAACGTGCGTCCAGGTTGGCACCTTACAGGTTTTGGCCCGGGCCTTTGCACCCCGAATTCGTTGCTCGGCCATACGGTCTTTTGACACACCGGCCGATAATCGGCTTGGCTGCGGCAGGGATCAGAAAATTCCCCTGGCCTTGGAAGGAGGGAACATTCTTTCCTCAGCCACGTCTACAGAGGCGAAAGAGGTTAGGCTAACAGCTCTCGTTCGATCCAGTTTGCTCACTGGGCTCCAACGTCTCCATCCAAGGCAGCGTATTCGTCTTACAGGCGGCATCGACACCTCCCTACAGACTCCCTACATCCTCGAGGGCAAGCGTGGAATCAAACCTTCTCTGGGCTGGGCCAGACAAGCCCACGTACCGGGGCCCTGCGCCTCACCAACGGGCGTGATAAGGGGGGCTTGTACATAGTTCTCGCTTACATGGTTTGACAGTGGGGTTCCAGACGCGACTCTCGATCGACCCAAGTCGGGCCGTCATCCCTACGGTGACATTCCCACCAAATCAGGTTCTGACCCCTGCAGAGGTGGCATGAGGTGTCGACATCGAATTTTCAAATGTCGTTTAGTAAAGGGGAAAGAAAACACCAACGGCCAAATGCGCCGTATCTTTTTTGTCTCACCTTGCTTTCAAAGTGATAGCCTGTACATCTTGGCACCTCGTTCTCAAGGAGTCATCCATCATCATCGGCCCCTCAACATCACACCACTAACCGTGAGACTGAGATAAACCGCATTTCATTAGCTGGCCTAGATGACTTGTCGAATAATTTGTAGAAAACTCGTAATCGGAAAAGAAACAGGCTGCCTTGGGCTCTTTTCCCTCACCGAATAATTCAGCCCTGGCCGATTCCATGCAAGAAATTATTTTCTCCTGGTTCAATTCTCCTCCTCGTTGAAGTCACGCCAATTCTCGTCCCTTCAATCTCCATTTCGAACGTGTTTTCCCGAGCGCCCCTTCCCATTTTCCAAGTCAAAGCAAAAAAAAAAATTGCATTGCTCCGCCAGAAGGCGTCATCATAAAACCCGTGGCTACTTCCAAAGAATAATCGTCTACATGCCTGTGCCTAATCTCGTTTCTTAGGATTCCGTCAAAGTTTTATCTACTAGATTCACACTGTTCACAAGTCAGTCTGGGAGCAAGCTCTTCCCGTCTGCTACTTTGAGTCTACGCAAACACTGGAGCAACGCATCATAAGTCGGCAACGCAATGAATCTCTAACGAGTATGGACCCCAATTATGCCTATATTAAAGATCTTCTCCACGTACCCACTGAGTAAAAGCACTGATGAGTCTATCTACAAGTGAATGGGTCCAGATCTCTACCCAAATCGTCGGTGAGGCAATTAATGCAATCTACAGTTGGTGGTGTTTAGCGAGCCCCCCTTTGGAGGTCCGTTTTTTACCTTATTCTTCCTCTTGAAGAACACAGAAATGGACATTCGTGTAGTTCGAGTAGACCAAACCCACAGCCGCTTCTAGGCCGGACGTGCCTATCAACCACGCATCCTCCAGTACATAATAACAACAGATATTGAGGGGGGGCCAGTAGAATAGCACGCCAGAGAACGAGACACAAGTGATCAGCATTCAAGAACAAGCTTCGGTACCCGCCGCTAAGATGCCTGAGCCGAGTGTGTATCCAGCGGACCCAATGGTCCATAAAAGCGGAAGCAGAAAACATCTGGCATGAGACCCCCTGACTGTAATTAGCGAGCGACTGGGGGCGATGCTTGGGTTGTTGCCACACGGCTAGGATTTGCCGTTCGAAATATTCTTTACTGTAACAGTTCACCTGAAAAAGAGTACAATGCTGCTATTTTTCCAATCCTAATGGGTACATATTTCCTCTGACATCGAGCCATGAACAACCTCCTCATCCGACTGCCGAAGCGGCTCGAAGTACGCGGATTTGGGCTTGCCGTTACCGTCAAGCTTATCAAAGCTCGTCTTTGTGATGTTCTGAAGAATTGTCGGGCTGACCGCCACTCACCCTGCACGTGAATGAGCCGTTTTCCCAATTGGCTACCTTGGGGTAGGCACAAATTGGTGTGCGAGCCCGGTTCCCCTCGCTGCCCAACACAACAGTCGGCAGCTCCTCTGGCGTGATGCCTTCCTCCACCCACAATCGCAAAGTCTCAAGAGCATGCATAGGATATGCAACTCCATCAGGAGCTCCGCAATGGCTGGCACCTGGCACCTCGAAGTAGCGGTAGTAGTCTGAGGTGGTGATGCCATGAAGATTGTCGGCCGCCAGGACTTTGTCAAAGTGCCCTCGCATATGCGATAGCGGGATCACCTGGTCATTCATTCCGTGCCAAGCCAGCATCTTCTTCCCCAGCATCCTAAAACGTTCCATATCGGGTTCGCTGCTGCCAAACAGGTGCCCCCATTCAAGCCGGGCGTCCCGGAACATCCGAGCATATTCCTCATGGGTCAACTTCGCGGGGTCAAACTGCGGATCCTTCTTGAGCATGAGCCGGATCCAATCTGTGGCAATGGTGAAAGGCCGGCCCCGGGCGCAGTTGTTGTTCTCGTCGCAGACAGCGTTTGCGGTTCCCAAAAATCCAACGAGGTTTGCCCCTGGTGTGGCTCCGCCGACAAGCTCATTTCCTTGCGGATCAACAGGCCCCTTCAGGATGGCTTTGTAGACTTCTAAGGTGTCTTGGGATACTTGAATCGGCTTTCCGTTACAATCAACAATCTTCCCAGCCAGAGATTGGAGATCGAAATGGCAAGGATCAAGCCTAGCAACAACCCCGTCGACATCTCCATCAAGGCCATCGCAAGCTTCGGTGACCGCCCGGGCCAAAAATTCGAATTCGCATGCATGGGGATACACATTCCGCTGATTCATAACAAACTGAGGCCAGTACAGTGACAAGACTAGCGATGGGTAGTCGACTCCGGGACAACTTGCAAGAATACCATCAAAGTCTTCCGGGTACTTGTTGGCAATCGTCAGCCCTTGCCTCCCACCCGTTGAGCATCCATGCCAGTATGCGAACTTGGCCTTCGCTCCATAACCCTGCGCGACAATATGTTTGGAGATGATAGCCAACTCATGAAGACTGCGATGAGCAAAGTTCACAATCAGCGGGTAGTCCAGATTTCCCGGGCTCTTCATTAGCCAAGGATCAGCGGTGCCGAAATGGTTATGGAAATATCCTCCGTCAGTCGAAGCAACTGCATAGCCTTGTGATGCTAACCCAGTCATGACTTCAGCACCAACTTCCCCAGCTGCCCAGCCTCCTCCACCAAGGTCAACGAGACGCTCATTATACTTTGCAGTTGGGAGCCAGACGTGAACAGATACTAGATCTTCGTGCGCGGGATGTTTATAGGAAACGGTGACATTGCAAAAGTCAACGCCACCGGGTTCGATGAGAGCAGCTTCGGGTCTTCCAAATGCTACGAAGCCCTTATAGCCTCTAACAAGCGACGCATTAATGGAATGAAGCTCGGTGCCGAGAATGTTAGGGAAAGAGAAAGACTCGGGAGAGCAAGCACTCATCTTAGTGGCCAAAGACTGGCCCGTGAGGATGCTCGCTACAAGGAGGTTCTTTGAGACTCGCATGATCTTGAGACCGGTGCAAGCTGTTGATAATTTGATACATTGAGACCATTGAATATACCCAATCGACTTCACAAAGACCAGTTATACTTGACGATGAATCCCGCAACTCCGTAAATGTACCACGGAATGACGGTATAGCGAAGATAATGGTTCGATTGATCCCACCGAAACCCCGATATCCCCGGCCGTCAACCGTGAATTAAATCCCTGTAGATACTTCCGTCGGCTACCATGTTTTAAGCATAAAATCTCACTCAAGGTACCCTTAGCACATAAGTGCAAGAGTCACACGGCAAGCAAGTCGCGATATTGACCCGCATGCTTGCTCCAGTGTCGTTCAGTCAATCTCGGCTGGTTGTTCCTAGGCAGGTCTGAAGTAAATCGAACAGGCCATGCCAACTCCATTCGTCTTTGGCAACCAAATAAATTAGATAAGGGCAAGTTATAGAGTGAGATTTTAGCCCATTGAATGATTGAGAGGAGGGTCCAATTTCTCCAGTTGAACTCGGAGGCAAATTCTATGGCTTCTTACCAAATCAGATGCTGCAAAAGATGAATATGATCAATGAAAATAAATTATTTATAGTCGCATATATTTACGCTAAGAATATCTGCCTCAAGTCGATGTACTTTGAAAACGCATGTTGAATTACAAACATTCACACTCGATGAAACTTCCTGTTGTCTTATAAGTTGAGAAAGAGGTTCTGAAAGAGCCGTGTCTGCTAAGAATTTCTCACTTCTCAGGCTAAGGCGATTGGCATTTTTCATTACGAATTGCCAACCTCACTCCGCCTCTCAATCTGAAGTGCTGGTGTCAGCGGCCAACATACAACAAGTACGCTATTCAATAGCACTGGAAGCCAAGACGATGTGCTCTAAACTGCTAATAGTGGTTCACATGCATCCTCAATGAAAGAGCAAATTTTCCAACCAACGGTAATTTCTACCATGAGAGGAATAAATGACTATTCATGAAAAATCTCATAGCTGTACCGCGACGAAAGATTCAACAAAGCATGCAGCGAGCATGTATAGAAGTTAATTGAGTTACTGTAGCCATTCGCCATGACATCATCCCGTCACCATAAGCCCTAAACATTAGCGGCCGTTACAGCGCCTCGCCACGCTACGTTAAGCGTTATTTTAAGAAGACGGCAACTGCGGGTCACGTGGTGATGACTGCTGGATTCATCGATTGACGCGTGGATTCTGCGGAGATTCCTTGGAAAGCTTCTAGCTCTCCCAGGCTTCGCTTGTGCTACTCGATCAAATACAATTATCAAATGCCACCACGCTTATACCATACCAAGTCCAAGACGGGATGCTTGCGCTGCAGAACCAGGCGTGTCAAGGTATGTGCCCAAACAGCTCTCAATGTCTGGAGCGTGGCACCACGATGGTTGCTCTGACTCAGCAATGTTGCTTTCTAGTGCGACGAGACGCAACCAACCTGCGTGAGTTCATTCTCCTCAGCAGCCCTGGTCGCTACCGGATAAACTAGAGATGGAAGAACTAACATTTACATCTTGGTTTCTTCCAGGGTGGATGCACTCGTCATGGCGTAGATTGCGTGTATGACCGGCGGCCGGGCAGCCCCAGCCCCAAACCTGGCAGAGGACTGAAAACCGAGCCTGATACCTTCTTCCAAGAGACGCAAGAACGCAGGCATCGTGAGCTCCGGCTCCTCCATGTTTTTGTCACTCAAGTGTGCCCTTATATCCCGGGAACCCACATACCCAAACTGTTAGAAATCTGGACCGTCCGTGTCCCCGAGATGGCACTGGGTTACGAGCCTCTTTTGCATGCCATCCTAGGCTTCTCGTGCCTGTACGAGGCCACGTGCAAGCACAGTGTTGCAGCCGAACGTCTCCACTGGCGGGCTCGCTATCTCGAGAAGACCCTGCAGGCACACCGGGCGGCTCTAGGTCATTTCACCCGCGAGAACGCGGACGCGGTGAGCTTCACCACCGTCGTCATCACCCTGGACGCCTTTGCGCACCTGCAGGAGCGAGACTTGAGCGGCCCGTACGAGCCTCCTATGGATTGGCTCCAGCTCTCCCGGGGGATTGGCGATGTGTGCAAATGCGCACTAGCCCTCCTCCAGGATGACAAAGATGCTCTCATCTGGCCCTTGGTCCACACCAGCATAGACACCATCCGGATGCGCAAGTCGGACGATCTACCAACGCTCGGGACCCTCTCGCATCTCCTCGTCCCCGTGGGGAGCGAAGATCTGGGGGACGCGATCGATGAGGAGGCGTATCGGGAGACTGTAAGATTGCTCGAATGGATCGCCTCTGGTCGTGAAGCCGGCGAGCCTTTGAATATGTTCTGTCGAAGGTTGACGTATCTCTCGACGTTGCTTCCGGCGCGGTATGTCGAGTTGCTGAGCATGAAGCAGCCGAGGGCGCTGGTGCTGCTCGCGCATGTCTTTGCCCTTTGTTCGTACGCGAGTGACATGTGGTGGGTTGGTGGCAGCGCGAGGCAGGAAATCAAGGCGCTTCAGGAGAGCGGGCTCTTGGATGGGCCAGAGTGGGAGGCCATGATGCGGTGGCCAGCGAGCATCGTTGCCGGTGAGCAGTCACCTCTTCTCTCAGAGTATCATGAAATAGCAGTTGACTAGCGGAGATAAATAGAGCAGGAGAGGGGTTGACACTCGGCGAAACCAGAAAGGAGCGGTTTCAAGGATTTAAATTAATGTGCTGCAGATCCCTCAAGTCGACCTGGCTGACCCTCAGTCTCGTTCCTCGTTCCTCGTTCTTCGGCATCGGTATCGTTTAGTACCCACATTTCACTCATCCGCAGTGGCACAGCCATGCGGATGTTGAGGGCCGAACAGTCATCTCTCGTTGAATGCCCGGTTCTGGGACTTCACTGGAGAAGATGTAAGGTGGAATAAATTATGTATATCTTTGGGCCATTCCTCAGGCTTGTTTACGACAGCCCGTCCTCCTTCATAACACATTGAGTCAAGCAAGTACAAGAAATCGTCCAGCACAGTATAAAGTGCTCTTACAATGGATCAACTCTCCATCGCCCAACTAGCCATCTACGCTACTCTCAGCGTCCCTACCTTCTATATTCTATGGAAGCATGGGGCTACAGGAATCCTCGGCTGGGGGTATCTGCTTGTATTCTTCTCGCTCCGCATTGTCGGTTGTGCCATGCAACTCTCCGGCAGCACGTCAGCAGCAATTATTTCCAGCATTGGCCTGTCGCCCATTTTGCTTGCAACAGCGGGAATTCTCCATGAAGCGTATGTTAACTCCCAAAACAAGAAACTCCTCAGTTGGAGAAAGTAGGACTGACTTGGCCGCTGAATGATAGCCAGGTGTACCTGCGCCCTGAACTAAACCGTAAACTAGAGTGGTTAAAGGTGATTCTATATCACATCCAAGTCACTGGCGGTATAGCTCTACTGGCTGTCGGTGCATCCCGGCTGCAAAACAGCCCGCATCCCACCGCCGGTGATCGCAGCATGGCCAAGGCTGGCATGGGCATCTTGACATCAGCATGGGTAGTCCTCGCCGTCTGGATCATATTCTCGTGCCGGCCCTTTTCTAGGATTTCCCGGATGGAAATGGACATTGGCCATATGGTACGTGCATCTCCAGCAACCTCAAAAACGCGACAAAATTGATGATCCGTCGCTAACGACATCACTGTACGTACAGCTTTTGATATCGACACTCGTTTCCATCCCGATTTTGGGCATTCGCGTCATCTACAGCTTAGTTTCGCTGGTATCTACAAATGCTGGTGACCCTTCGATGGCTGTTAGAGTCATTTGCACTACCCTTCCGGAAATGATTCCAGCAATCATCTTCTGTATTGTTGGACTTTACACGGCTATCAGGCCCCATAGGCATGAAGTCACGGGACGCAACGTTCACAATGACTCAGGGAAGTCTCGAGCGTAGTGAGACTTTTAGGACGTAAACATCAAATGTAATTTGCATAAATATTAGATCAAACAAGCAGGTTCTTCGCAGCGGCCTTGACAAGAGTTAAGATGACAATAAACGCAAGATCAAGTGCGGCGTTTTCAACAGAAATCCAATTGCCCAGTTTTGCCTCACAGTGTGAACTCATCTGGGTGTTTAGTCTTTGTTCTCGATTATTCCATGGTGCCTCTGAATTCCTGTCTAGATACAAATAGACAAGAGCTTGTTTCCATTTCCTAGGATGTTCCAACGCATCAAACAAAGCATGTCTGTTATTCTGATCTCCCCTTTTCCAGCTGTGTATGGTTCCCACTGCCGCCACGACAATTCTCACTTCCAGAATATCTCATTTCATGCTGGCTTCGTTCGAGTACGTTCGCGTGTGTCGCCTCCTTCATTGCTGGCCGATCCAACCACCGTTGGGGCAGTAGACTCTGCGCTTGACGTGGCAACAGCTTCCGTCGCCACCTCCCTCACCGACCTGAATATTCATGTGGTTAGTTAAAACAACGAAAAGAAATGACAAGCCTTTCAGTTTGTTTCCGTGATAGTCAACAGAAGGATTACTTACGCATTTTCCAACCTCACAGTCGAGATTGACGCCGTGCCACTTGCAGGACAAGCCGTTGCACTCCTACACCATCATATGGTTAGCTGACAACTTGGCAGTTTCAGAGAATGCACAACTGTTGACTCACTCCGAGATAGTAGCCTTCCACCAGAGGGGGGCAGTCCTTTCGCTTGACAAGCTCGGAAGAATCGGGCTCGGAAGAATCGGGCTCAGAGGATGGCACTGCGATGACGGCAGGCAAGGCTGAGAGGAAGGACAGAACGGTAGCAGCAAGGCTGAGCTTCATCTTGAAGTTGATTAGAAGAAGCAAAGTTGAGGTGAGTTGAATGTTGTTGATGAGTAGTATGAGCAGTGTGTTGGAAGCAAAGTGTGATGGATGAAGTTGTGTTAGGAAGGAAGAGATTTAGAGTTGCAAGCAAGGTGCGATGGAGAAGGGTGAGTCGGGAAGAAAGAGGTTTCGAGAAAAGAGGCAGGTTTTATGCTCGGCAGGAAAGAGCGGTGCCTAGCTTCAGTCAAGTAACTGAGCAAGAGCGCTGTTTCTGAAAGTGGGACTGTTGCTAAAGAGCAGTGAATCACGCACTTTTATGTTCATCAGCTGAGCGTTGTACAGTGACAAAAGAGCCTTGGACGCCAGACTGGCGTTTATGCTTATTGACGCGCTGAACTCGTCCTCTACCGTATAACAATCCTACCTTCTGAACATGTCCCCGTATAGCTAACTTGTATCCAACCAATCAACTGTTTCAAAAGATAAAAATCCCATATAAGGCGGCCACCAGTAAATAACACATTGCTTCGTGAGGCTGAATTGTAAGAAACTCAGCGATGCTGGTTCAGATCGTACCGGCCGATTCAGGAGGATGTGAGAGGAGGTGGCTGGGGATTCCCCCATCGCTAGAGAGCTCACCGATGATCTAATTTCAGAACTTTCCGTATTGTTCACCTCACACTCACCTACTTCTCACCAGCAACCCTTGGCACGTTCATTTTAACCACCCACCAGGCTGTTACTCAACATTTCAAGATTGAACATATTGAGCTAGGGACACGTGATCCAGGGTTATTTAGGACTATATTGTCCTCCAGCCAGGGACATTCATCGATCAGCTATCAGCGACGACAAGGACAACACAGAAATGATGAGATTTTTATTAATTAATAGGTCCTACCCTCCTCCATGAACGTCAGGTATCCGACCAGTCCGGTGCATCGCAAAACTTATGGCCATTGCCTCTAACTGCTTCTCGCCTCCTGGATACCGCGGCCTGTAGCACTTGACCGCCAAGACCTGGTTGAGAAGGACTGCCTTCTCCGCCTTGTTCGCGCCTTCTAGGGAGAGCAGGACCGGGCCAAGGAGGTTGACGGCTGACATGGCATCGAGCTTGGAGATGTACGGGATGTACATCCAGAATCTCGCGCATGCGTCACGATAACGGGAATACACCCCGGCGTCCGGCTGCCCATAGACGACGCCGAGGTCGTAGATCATCCGCAGTAGCAGGATCTGGAACATGATGCCGCCAGCGAGAACGTGGGCAAAGAAGGGAGATCGGAAATGAAAGCTGTGGCCGACAACCGAAGTGGCATCTAGCTCATCTATGATATCTCCCGTCGCAAGGGCGGCCTCGGTGGTAGTGAGTATCAGTGTTGCGATGGCGCGCTCCAAGTCAGACAGAGAGCAAAGCAAGGACGCGCTGAGTTCTTTGTTCTCGCTCGGGTTCATCCGTATGGTTCTTACATCGACATTGAACTCGGCTAGTCTGCCGAGGGATCTGTTCAGTATAAAGGTCTCGCTGGGGAAACATTTGAGTTCATCCATGGCCAGGTACTCTCCTGCCACTGTTTCCATCAGGTTCATCCAGTGTGCTTCTGCCAAGTAGCCCCTACTCCCGTTAAGAGATGCCGTGTGCTGGCAGCGGGGTGAATGGTTAGCTGTATTTGCAGGTGGGGTTTCAAGGCAAAGGTTGCAGCTCACCAAGATGTGTTGGCTCTCGAACGCCAGAGTAACGTCAAAGGGGTCGGTGAAGTTGAGAGTCCCCTTCCTGGTTAGCACCCACTCTATGCCACGGTACTGTGCCTCCAGATTTGTCACTTGATCGGTCCCAAACAGCGTCCCCGTACGCTCCAACAATATCATCGCGGCGAGCGTCTCTACGGAATACGGGCTCTCCTCTGCGATCGCGTTCTGGACGCTATGAATAGCTCTGCTGTACAGGCCAAAGGTGAGCAGCTCCCGGGAATCCTCGTAGCGAAGGTACTCTTCCCATGCAGAGCAGAACAGGGCGGCGCAGTTACGTAAACACTCACTTCGAGATAGTCGCATCGGGAGGTATGGGAGATAGCCCATCTGCATGCGGACGCCGCTGGAGCCGTTGGAGTCCTGCTCCATGATGAGGATGAGGCGCGTAGCGATGCTGTCGGCCTCGCTTGTGAGGGCATACTGGGGGGCCTGCATTCGGAAGACGGCGTACGAGCCGATCTTGTCGCCATAGGACCTGATTGGATTCCAGTTTACAGAGGTCGCGGGCCGCCATGCATGAGGATCCCCGCTCTCCAGGCGCTGCTGAAGCAGCAGCTGCAGCTGGGATGCATTGGTCACGGGGGACTTTCGGCGCCGGCGGGCGTCTACTGCAACAACCAGGCCCTCGTGGACAAACTTGAAGAGGGCAGACGGGCCCGGGCAGGTGTGGTGCGTCCGCTTGCAGGGCGTGCACGTCGGCCAGACCTCATCACACTTTCACGACGTTAGCCTCAGCTGATTTTATTGAGTAGCCCCGGACGCGCCGTTTTCTAGTGCCTGGCACTGTCTTACTTTAATCTTCCGGCGCTTGCAGACTTGGCATCCCCGAGAATAGGGAGTGCCGGGCATCTCTGGGAGTCCAAGAGGTCGCTATTCCGTCCAACGAGGCAAATACAGCTCTCTAGTCTGTCGCGTAGGGCTGATGGTCTGGAAAGGGGGAGGAAAAGTGTGGACCAGCCTCCAAGCTACGGCAATGCTCTGCCCCTAGATGAATTACCGGCCTTTCGGTGAGGCCCAAGGATCCGTGCTTGGTTAGAGGGAGTTCCCGCTATTTACAATCACGTGATGCTACGCGGGGAGTCATCTCCAAGCTGTCATCGGTCCCTCATGATTGGAGTATCGCAAATATTGATTGTCGGATGTGAAACGACTTGAGGACGGTATTACAAAGACTCGGGCGAGACGAACTTGAGGAGCAAGTTTTGTGCAGGAACGTTGGTTCTCACGTGAACTGGACCTCATTCTTTGGTGCATTCGTAGAGGCAAACCACATGAACAGCACATTGATACTAGGATTGTAACACCTTAAACTATGTGATGTGACATAAGGTTAGTGTATCAATGGAGACAAGATCTTAATTTCCTCCGCGAATTAGAGATGGGAGTCGTTGATTTTGTAGCTTCTAGTCGCGTTTGTTGACAGTGTGTAGGGTAAGTGTGATTCTTGGATCGTGTTTCTGCCTGAAAGCTCAGGGAATAAATCAGTGCCGTGTCTCGGGGAAGCCAAAAACAGCAGGTACGAGTGCCGCCATGGCGCCTGAATATCGGATAAACACATTGGAAACAGCCCGGGCGGCACCTCCCTAATTAATGCGATCCATTGCCCCTCTTTCTCGGTGCTACTGGAGCTGCTGCACGCTGAAGATGTTTCAGCCAACCACAATTCGCCGTGTTTAGCCGTCGATCGACACACCGCGACAATCCCTCCAAGCGGCGTGGCATTGCATTGCGCGTGTGCCTTTCTCCTCTTTACGACACATCTCCTGGCTCTCATCTTTTATGTGAAGAAAAAGGGAAGAAGAAGGAGCAGTAAAAGGTACCAAAATGCGCCTGATTCACGCCGCCGCGAGATTGCTCACCACCGCGTTCACAATGGCGGTGGTATCAGCTACCGGTGTCACCTCAAACGGGACGCGCTGTCTCATGTATCTCACTGGGTAAGTATTTGGGGGCTGAGGATGGTGGAAAACCACGGCGCGCGCCGGCCCAGAGAGGTCATGGCATTGACGCATCTGTGATTTTGCAGGCAGCATCCCATCATTCCTGCGTTCGACCTCGCGTCGTCCATTACGCACGTCAATCTTGCCTTTCTCACCTCCGATGTCTTCACCGCCGAGACGCCTCCCGATGAGTACCCGCTCTTCATGAGCGTCGACCAGGTGCGCGCCGGATTCAAGCCTGGGACCAAGGTCCTCGTCGCCATTGGTGGCTGGGGTGATTGGAAGGGCTTCCAGGAGGCCGCGCTCACTTCCGAGTCAAGGAAGAAATGGGCCGAGCAGGTCAAGATCATGGTGGACAGGACCGGTGCAGATGGTGTTGACATCGACTGGGAGTATCCGGGGTCAGTGGGCTGCCTCCCCGACGAGATTATCGTCTACCTGTTTG